TGAGCTGGCGACTACAGTGACTTCTGATTTCCATCACTGCAAGGACAAACCACTCACACTCGCAACCGCGTGCAGTTCTCCATGGCAGCCATGCTGTAATTATGGAGAAATTGAAAGGTTTCTGTGACACGATCACCTGAAAATAAAGGCTTTAAAGCACTAGTCTCAGTAACAAATTTATCCAACGTTGTGGCATTAGATGTAATTGAATTATTATGAGAGGATTAACAAAATCCTGCAAGAACAATCTGACTGCCGTGACTTCCCCTCCTACTTCTGCCAATGAAAAGAAAAGAAATATATACAATGTAATGCCAGGAAATAATTGTCACAAATGGGAAATACTGTGGACTGGATGATGCTTGGCTTTAGGACTTCAGGAGTTTAAAGGAAAGACTCTCCACTACGGACTAGCTTATATTCGCTTCGTTGTTATACAGGGGCCATCAATTAACAGAAGTTTTTCCAGACTTGTGGGTGACTATGGATTTCTGTTTTATATTAGTAAATATCATCCCTCTACCTCTGCAACTCCCACTGATATCTAGAAATGATTGATCTGGTTTTAAAGACAGCTTTGGAGCAAAGTATACATATGGTTTGAACCATCTGTCTCTAACTTGGTATGGGAATTGCAAATCACTTCTCTGTATATAATGCCTGTATGATACCTATACCCTATGTCTATGATGCCACAGACGATATATATTTTCCCTCCAAAAACTTACCTGACATTGACTGTGTTATTTCATAAAATCAGGGGAATGAAGACCTAAGATTATGCCACTGAGATGTAAATAAAAAACAGAGGTTCTGGCTCCTACAGTCTATGTACTCCTCTCCCAAGGAGTTTTTGCCTGATTTTGAATGCCAGCCCTCCTTGGGCAGTAACACTCTCCCTCTTGATCTCACAGGCTTAAGTCCAGCATCACTTCGAAGTCTCACTAATATAGTTGGGATATGAGAGAAGAGAACCTATGTAATGGGATCCCAGCTCTCTAAAATCTCTTTTCTCCTACTGTTGAGTCAGAATAAAGAGATCAGAGGTTAAACATATCTGGAAACATGAATATAAAAGAACCAAATGGTAAGTGCGAAACATTCTGAACTCAACACAACTCTTTCTGTCTGATGAACAATCTGACATGTCCCAAAGACACATTGCAGTTTTGCAATGACCAGGAGACATTACTTCTACCTCGAGCTTGTTGGCTTCTGGAATGACTCTCTCTCAGCTGCAGATCTCGACTACTGGCTCAGACTTCCAGGTTTATATGCCTAAGAGTGTATATTGAAAGGGCAAAACGACTCCTACTTGAGGAGTGTGCAAGTGGGTCTTAAACACAACTTGTACACTACTTAAGCAGTCTCCATGGCTTTATGGTGACCATGCCTATCTAAAAGGTATCCCCTGCTCCTGAGCAAGGGTTTCTCAGAGGGTAGGTGTTTTTCAGTCATGCCTCCTGTCCTGATGGTGTGGAAGATGGGAGATACTGTGGCAGGCAGCAGACTCACCTGCCCTTACTCTGCCTGTGGCATTAAATAGGACTGAAGACCTTTCCCACAGAGTGTAACAGCTGTTTTGCACTAAAATGTGAAAGGAAGATCAAAGATAGAAAATTATCTCTGTATCTTTACCTATATAGAAATAGTCTTTGTTTCCAAGCAGCATTTGCAATATATCTGTATCTGTGCTATAGCTGTTTCTATATAAAACTTACCTTCTGGAGCCAGGCTACTAACATTATTTTGACTCAGTTAGGCCTCCAAGGCAGGATTTCCATTATTATGGAGATGAACTGCCTTTAATGACTGCAATAATGTAATTGTACCCCAGGGCAGAATTTCTAATAACACAATTGCACAGTTCTCAACCACCAGTGAGAGATACCTTCAGGGCAGGTTATTCATTAGGGGTGCAGTACACACTACCTCAGCCTCCAGAGAAGAATATGAAATCTAAAACAATAAAGCTTTTTTTTCCATGACAGTCTCTGCCCTCTGGGCAAACATTGAACAACACACTTAGTTTTGCCTCCTGGACAGCAGTAGCCTCCAGAGCAAGAGTCCTGGCAGCAAAATCTGATACACACTATTTCTGTCTCCAGCAAGGAGTTCCTAGCATGACACTCCATCTGAAAAGTCACACAAGCCCCAGGAGAAATGCTCAAGCAATTGCCATGGTAGCTGTCAGAACTGAAAGCAAGGACTGACACAGTAATGTCGCTTTTAACTCCACCTGGAATCGGAAGAACCATCTATATTGATTAACTTTCTCATAATCAAGTTCAGTTTGGAGAAGTATCCAAATGTTCAGGTGTCTGTCTGAAACTTGAAGGACTCTTAAACATCAGTTTAACCAGAGATTTTGTTTAAGTTTTTTCTCCGATGTCCATCTCAAAGTTCTCTTTTCTGCCCTAGATTATGAGATTTCAGCAACAGTTTTTCTTGGCATCTTTATTCCTAGATTTCAACAGGACTCCAGTCAGTGGTACTATCCTCCAGGATGGCAGGGAGGATATAACGTTTCAGCAACCCAAGAAACCAAAAATACAGCAACGTTAAGCAGAGGACCAGGCACTTGGCCTCTCATACCCTTGTGAAGTCAGACAGTGATGATGAGCAATGCCATGATCATCTAAGACAATATAATTTCCTAATTGCGTGTTTCACACAGTCTCCAGGTACAGACTGCAAGGATGGCGTGGTTAATAAAGGCGATGGCGAAGATTCGACACCCTCACCCCCACAGGAGACACAACCAGCGGCATATAGGAACTAAATAGGTCCAACTGCCAAGTCAATGGAGCGGTGTTCATTAAGACATTTTGCCAGGTAGGCCCTGCTGGATGATTCGGCTGGCAGAAGAACCCCTGGGCTGAAGTAACAGAGAATTTCACACCTGTTTGGGCACATTTCACGTCTGGTTTCCCATCCAGGGCTTGGTGCCCGGGTGGGAGGCTCTCGGTCTTGGTGCAGCAGGAGACCTCAGCCTTGCTGTGGTTGGCACTTGAGCTGAATGCTGAGCTGCACAGAGCACTGTGCTGTACACACAACCTGTCCTCCCAGACACTGCCTGTCTGGGCACGGGGGCTGTGGCCAGCAGACAGCGAGGTATATATTATTTAGCAAGTTTTTATGACTATACCTGCCTCTTGCCAACATAACTCAGGAGGAGGTCAGTCAGGAAAATGCTGTAGGTATGTCTTCACGCTATTTACACACTGTGTGCACCCTTCAGGGTTGCTCTGGTGTGGACTCCCTCATGTCTACCACGGCGTGACTTTAGGTGACAGGGTCTCATTGAGCGGAAATAATAGGGTCTTCCTTCCCCAGTTGCCTATTTCCTGGCTAGAAAGCATGAAGAAAACTGCTATTTTTTGATCTTCCTCTCTTAACTGTGGTGGAACCCAGCAGAAACATCTACAGCCAGTTCAAATAACCAGTTCAAAAGTAAGTAAAGGTTTGGAAGTAAAACCACAGACAGACCAAGCTGCCACCTAGCCTTATGCTACCAGTGCACAAGCTGTGTTTCCTTGGGAAACCATGATCTAAGGGTTTCTGCTGTATTGCAGCACCCAACTTTTAGGTAAGTTTGCAGACGAGAGAGTAGTGCTAAAAAAAAAATTAAATCGCTTTGTTGTCAGGATTGCATGGGAGCGATCAAGCAAGAAACACAGTCGCTCACATTCCTGTCCTTTCCTAACACCTCGCTCAAATAAACTACTGCTTTCTCTCTCACTCCTAAATTAAAATGAGGAGAAAGAACTGTGCCATGCCTAGGAGAACATACCAGAGAAAACAGCACATTTCAGCTACAGATAATGCCAGTGAGGATGAGGAGACGGATGGGAGCCCATGAGGCTGACACTCTGAAACTTTCAGTACTTAGTATTTCCCATCCTTTGCACAATCTTCACCAGAAGAACAAGTTTTTTAGTTTTAAAAATCAATATACCTTGATCTATTATAACTTTGACTTCACACAGCTTTGTAACCTGGCTGCTAGAGAAAGCTCTGCGCAACTGATCACACAACTGAGGTGAAGTCAAACAGTCCATAGACAATACCTTTGTAAAAAACAGGTAACAGGAGCTAAGTAAGGCAGAACTAGGTTGTGTATTTGGCTCTAAATGAACTACAGCTTTTTTGCATACTCGTATACATCATCTCTTCATATACTTCAATATTCATTATAGGCAGGCAAGTTGGATGGAACAATACTATTTCCAAGATAAAAGAATTGCTCTAACGGGTTTAAGTTTTTAAAAATAACAATTTCCTGTAATTTTCTGCTTTTTGACCTTCATGAATAGGACAGGATTTTCCCCAGCAATCCAAGTGGCACATTGTATTTTGGAGGACTGTCCAGGACAGACAGCTCTCCAGGTCCCCCTCTCAGGTGCTGCGCAAGCAGGACAGGTAACACGATCAAATCTCTATACGTTCAGCAACAAATCACTGCAAAAACCACATGTGAATTTGAAAGGCAGACTCCTACTTCCTACTAACGTTCTCCTTTTGAATAAAGAAAAAAGAAAGAAAAAGAGAAAGAAAAATTACGTGGCCAGTCTGAAAAAGCAGTCTTCAATTCACGCATTAGGACTGCCAAATTAATTACTGACCCCAAATAATTCCTGTTTACAGGACATTGAGTAATGTACCAGAGCAGTGTAATTTGCAGTGGAGGGTTTTATCTCCTGGGAAGTTTTCTGAAAAACAATGGCTGTTTAAAGAAACGCAGAGGCAAAATATTTGCTTTTTAGAATGTATCTTTATCAGCTTCTTGGCAGGGATGGTTTAATAGTACACAGAGACTGGGATGAACACAGTGGGAATAGAAATCTCACCCCCAGTTCCTAGAGCCTGAACACGAGCTGTTTTCACATTTATTTGCAAGTCAATTTTAGGAAGCTATTAATGACAAATTTAGGTTTCGTTGCTGAAAGCCCCTGGGTTGGAGCAAGCTAATGAAAGAAATGGTTACTTTAAGACATTACCTTTCATTTTCTCTTAGGATGTCTTTTCCTTTCTTCCAAGAATAAGTAGGTCTGGGGGAAGCTTTTGGCTTACACTCAATGATTACTTCACCGCCCACTTTAACAAGTGTTAACTTTTTCAAGAGAGTTTTGGAAAAGTCTGGACCAACAGCTGAAAGAAAAAAAAATAGAAAAACCAAGCAGATCAGAATTCCCTCTGGAAAAACCAAAGGCAGGCTCTTCTGAACACTGCAATATTCCAGGGCTGTTTCTCACCTGCAATTCCTAAATGATCTGACTTTAGCAACCATGTGCACATACAGATGGGGCAAACAGAAACCTGACGGGTTCAGCTCTTTACTTATTCAGAAACAAACGTTCAGTGACAAACCTCAGAAACCAGTAACCTCGGCAGGCAGCAGAAACCCGGCATCACATACATCTTATTCGGGGCAGCACCCCCAAGAACTACGCCTGCATGAACTGTAAAATGTAGTTCCTTTTTTTGTGTCTTAACAGCGTGATCATTATGTCAAACATTGCTATGTGCAGAGCAACAGCATACAGGAAAATTGTTGGAAACACACAACTCGATTAATCAGAAATGAGAATATTTCCAGAAAAGTTGTTATTTTTATGCTTCATGTTCATAATTGTTGCATAAAACAGATCTTTTCTTTTAATGCTATAACGATGGGAGACCTTGACAGGGCCAGGTCCTGAACCAAGCAAAACAAGGCAAGACTTAAGTAGGCACCAGGGTACAATTTAATCTTGAATCATCTTTTTTAGTCCCTCCAGGGCACACTTCTTTTTGTGAAGAACAGACAGATATTCACCGAAGCAGCCACCAAAGCCCTGTAGACAGTCTGCAGACTGGCTGTAAAGCAGGCTGGGGAGGGAGAAGATTGTTTGGCTTCTGACTCCTGCCTCAAAGGATTTTTAATGATTTATTTGATGGGACGCAATGACAGGCAGAGCTTTGAGGTGGCTGCCTCTCCACTGACTCTGGTAGTGAACTCCCCAAAGACGACCAGAAGGTTTTATTTATATCAAGTGGAACAATTAATTTTTTCAATACAGAGAAATCAAAGCAAATAGGTGAGGCAGCTGAAGGGTTTTAGCAACAACTCTTACCCTGTCGCTACATCTTTGCTGACAGGAGTTTACTTTCTGACAGATCAGTGGCAGCAAACTCAGCCCCGTCCCCTCTCATGCTCTCCCTCCCCTTTGCTGGCTGTGTGCCTGCCTCCTGCACCTCCCGCCCCATTCCTGTATCAACATCATTTTTCTCGATTTTCTTTCTTGCTGCTCTTTGGGAGGTGAAAGTTTAGATCACCACGCATTGCATCTGCTTGATGCTCCATAAATTGATCTAAAGCTCACCTGAAGCAGCTGGGAGACAAAAACCTGCCGTGCGATACAAAAAGCGAATTAATTTTTCTTAGGGCATCTTGCCTTTTGGATAGTGTTCCTGCTGCAAAAGAGCTGAATAAAACGTAATTCTACACTGATAATGGGATCAAATAGATCTCACCTTCCACTTCCATAACTCAGAGTTCACTAATCTCTGAGCTGTCTCTTCTTCTACGTCTAATCATAGATGGCTGACTTCATTTTAGCATAGAGGAAAACATGTATGTTATTAAAGACTATAAAAGAGCCATCTGAAAATCAACACTGGCCATGAAAAACATTTCAAAATTAAAGGAGGCATCCTGAGGACAGTTTCCCACCCATGCACTCAGAACCAGATGGATTATTATTTATATCGCATAATCATAATTGATACAGTACCATTTCTGGAAATAATTTCTCAGATGGTTCTCCAAAATTTAAGGGCAAAATAGATTTTTGAGTAATCCTGTTAGTTTCATCTCTGTAATGAACAGTTTAGACTGGGTTTTTTTGCAAGTCATTTGCTATTTCCTTGTGGACCCTGTGTGAGGTAGAGGAGTTTCACGATATGGGTTTATTCTGTGACGTTCAAAATGCTGTCACCCGACATTTAGAAACTCTGGGCTCAGTTCTCAGCGCTGCTACAACCTCCCTGTGCCACTTCAGGGGTAATGCGTTTAATTTCTTCACACCTTGATTGTAAAATGAAGATTTTAATTACTTTTTTTTCACTCTAGGTCCACTCTTCATTTTTAATTTTTTAAACATTTGGCCTGAAAATTCTCTAAGGCAATGTCTGCATCTTACTATACATTTGTACATTGCCCAGCACAACAGGCTCCTGGTTTTAGCTGGACTCCAGGTAATGTAACTGGCAACAATAATAGAGAAGAATCACTCTGAGAAAAAAGCCCTGTCTGTAAATTTTTAATTTCTCTTTTTCATTTCATTTTGCTGTAAGTCTCACTTGCTATTAGTGGTGTTTAATCATTTCAAGTGCTTAAGTTCAGGGCCTTTTAAAATACCCATTTTTATACTCGGAAAGACCTGCTTAAAAGCCAGCATTTCTCAGTGAGATCTCAAAATACTGACTTCCTTTGAAAACTCTAGTGAAAAGGAAAACATGCTGGTTTTCTTCAAAAAACATGCCAAACTAAATCACAGACCCATAGAAATTAATCTGCGGTACCATTCTGGTACTTTTCACGTGACATACAGAAGCAAGACTGCATAACCCAAATGGGAAGTCAGCCAACACATGGTATCTGGCACGTTTTTAAGAGCAGGCTCTCCAAGGTCTTTGCTTTTTGTGCATACACAAGGTCAACCCCTGGGTACCCATCACCAAGGTCTAAGCTTCTGTCTTCGGAGGTCTGCCTTCCTCCCAAAGGCTAATTTTTATGTGGGTTTTGAATAGACAGGAAAAGCATCAGTGGGTTTATTTTGATTTCTTTCACGGAGTAACACGTCCAATAAATCTTAGCACTGTGAAGTCTAATTTATTGAGCATCATTGTATTTTTCTTGAAGAGCAACAATGACAATCTTTTTTTCTATGCAGGTGTCTATTGCTGTTGATAAAAAATGACTGACATTGAAAATGCCATAATCAGAAAACACCTCATGCTTTGTTCTTCAGGATAAAGTGGGGAATTATGCTATTGAACACTGGCTTTGAAAACAACTAAACTACTATTTTGCAATCATGGATTCTATTTAACCCTTCAAAACTACATATCTATGCTCATGTGTCGGTTCCCAGGCCTGCCACTTGTACAACTTTGCTACCTTCTGTCAGATATTTAACACCTGGATGAACAGGAGAGTTTTCTGATATTAACTGGGATGAGTAGAGCAGGTGAACACAAACAGAAATGATTTTTCTTGGTGAGGGTTTGGGATGGGAGCGTTACGATTGCCATTAGGAAGGTGAAAGGTCTACTCAGGTGGTTTTTCAACATCTCCTCAAAAGAGTCAGTCTCCACAGCCCACGAGCAGGGGTCTGTGGACAGTGCATACTGGACAGTATGCGCTGACATGGGGCAATACTCGGGGTTCTCCATAACACATTTCTAACCAGCAAGAGGGTGACCTCACCAGCTCTTTGTGCTCACTCACCTGGATGAATATGAAAAACTGGGATGATATAAAAAAATCTATTTTCTGTCCACCCACTTTCTCAAGTTTTCGTTTCACACCTTAAATAAAAACTACAAGTTATCAAGGATGCTCAGTAGCTCTTCTGCTTCAGATGCTGAAACTTGGGAAAACCAGCTTGGGTGAAGGCTTTGCTGGTTTGGGGATGTTTGCCGCATTCAGGAAAGTACTCTTACCTATGACACTCAGTTCTGCGCTGGCAAAAATGGTGCCGTGTCTGTTTTCTGCTACACACTGATACATGCCGGCATCTGACAAGCTGACGTTCATTATCGTGAGCGAGCCCTGCTCTAGCTGAACTCTGCCCTGTAGGAAATAGTGAAACAGATTAAAAAAGTAAATAAATGGATCTTTTCTTGGAACATAAACCCAGCAGTTGTGCCCTATTCCATGCCAAAGTGCACAAAACATGTAGCAGTAATGGGAAGAATTTGCATACTCCAATCTATTTGTCTGCCAGTTAAATTTATGTCAGGTTAGATACTAAATGGTAAAACCAATACAGTAGTTGGTAAATGCAATTTAAATTGGAGGACTTCCCCTTGACTTCTCTCTGATTTAATACCAAAGCCATTTAGATTAATACCCCTTTCAAGTAGATAAACTTGGATTAAAAAATGCACTTTTGTTCCATGGTGGCACATCACAGCCAACTGCATTCTTTAAAACAATGGTATTATAAGTAAAGTATATATGGGAACAAACCTTAGTGAGACAGGTTGCCATCTTAGCTAGCACAGAGAAAAATACTAAAAATCCTTGGCAGTTTACTGAAAACAATATAGATGTTAATAATTTAATGATCTTTTACTTCATATCAGCCACTAATGTGATTTAAGTACAAGAACATCTGCTTGTGACCAGTGTGATGCAAGTAAAACTAGAGTGTGGAACAAAAGACCGGGGTATCGTTTATCAGCCTAAGGATACGGAGCTTCTGTTATCAGTTTTAGTAAGTACAGCAAAGTGTTCCCTCCCTCCCCAGGAGTTTCACCATTTGCAAAACAGTAATATAAAGAGCTACTGGCTTTCTACTTGGTTGTAGGGCAAGATGTCTGCGCAATCTTTATCGGGGTCTTGATGAAATCTAGGGTGCCATGTTCTTTCACAATAAGCGAAGGGAAAAAAATGCCAGCTACCATGAAACCAATGCTTCAGTGACTTGTTTTAGTTTGTGGTTGTAACAGGGGGGATCATTTGGCTGAATGATGGCGTTGAAGGGCTCCAGGGGTGCCTACCTGGGGCAGCAGTGGGTTCCCATCCTTCAGCCAGCGATAGGAGGGCTTCGGCCGCCCGCTCGCTCGGACGCTTTCCTCTATGGCTGCGTGTACGTCGCTGATTTTCTGAATCCAGTTGGGCTGAGCTGCGATACAGAAGTAATGAATAAAGCCTCATGTCTGTAACCAACAGCGTGCTCTCCAGGTGCAAGCAAATGGCCATTTCTTTCTTTAGTAGCACACTTAAAAGTTGGACTTAACATCGTATCGTAGAATCATTTGGTTGGAAAAGACCTTTAAGATCATCAAGTCCAACCATAACATATACGTATACATATATATATATAAAATGTAACATGATTAATAATTGCTAAAGGATTCCACCTCCCCACCCCGACCCCAGTTCTGCTTTCTGGAGGTGGCAGGTGCAAGATCAGAATCTGTTTCTGTAATATTTTTAATAAAGACACTTAATGAAAAGAGCAGCTTCAGAAATGCTGATCATTGTACAAAAACAAAGCAGAGGAATAAATGGCACTGTTAGTCCCCGGGTCCTTCAAACACAGCCATTTTCTTCTTCAGGATCTATATGACCTTGGCTTCAAAACTCTGAAATTTAGAATCCAACTTCAAAACCTGTAATTTAGAATTACCTCTGCCTTGAAATTAAGGTTATTCCATGCTTATAGGCACTACTTCAGGTCCAAATTCCCAATCTTTTTCTAGATTAGGGCCATGTCAACAAGTGCTCCCATAGGAAGGTCTTCCGTGTGTATGAAAAATCTTTGGACTCAGTAATTGTATTAATGACAATGAACAAACCTAGAAAGTCCTAAAACAGACACTGGAGATACATTTTGGTAGAACTTGGTGAAAACTGGCACTGGCAGTTTTCAGACACTTATTATACTATATTTTTTGTTGCATTTCACATATTTGTATCAAAGCTTGGTGTTTGTTTGTTCATTCTTTAAATACAGCTGAAGTTTAGCCAGACTCCGCATGCAAATCAAATTCCACTAAAATTGCCACGTGTTTTCAGAGACCATACAAAACCTCTGACTTTTGTCCATTACCTTCAGAAACCCCACCAGTCTAGATATGTCTACAATACTTCTCAGAAAGTCCCATTAAAAAAGAGAGTGACTCCAGGTTTTTAATGGTCATTTGCCCTTTTTGACATAAGAAAATCTGAGAGATTACCAGCAGAGGTCTCCAAGAACCTGGTTAATACTTTTTCCCATGTAATCAGATAAAAAAAAATAAGATTACTTCAAGACAGGTATATACTTTATATATCTTCTTTGCGTAATGACAGAGGCCAGAGAAAGGTCTGAAAAGATAATTTTAAAAATATAATCTCAAAATGGTAGGTTCAACATACAGTTGGTATGATTATACCTAAAATACTGGTATGTCTACCATGATGTGATGCTGGATACACACGTTCAGAGAGCTGAGTGCCTTCTAAAACTGGGCTCAGGCTGTGTCAGATCTATGCCTAATCCCACATCTACCACACCGCATGCTTCCCCTCTCACGGTGCTGACAAACAACAAAGCACAGAAGAAAGCGGAAGAATTCTGCACAGCATCTTAACTCCACAGGACTTGTGAAAAAAGCAGAAAGGCAAACTGAATGTAATGACAATGTAGAAGCAAAACAAGCAGCTGAAAAGGAGAGGCAAGCGGTGTTTACTTCTCTGACGGCCCCTCCTGCCCCTGTATTATCTGTATCTAAAGAGATATGAAAGGGAAAGCGTTTAAATGTGGGAAGATGAAAGTCAATTCTGTCATCTGAAGTAAGAACTTTAACAATTCTGTTGAACTGAGACACCCGCACAACTGCAATGGGTTCAGTGGCTCAAGGACATTTGCAAATTTATCATGAATTTACATATTTACTATTCTAACAGCATCCAACTTGTAATTTTGAAGACAGCCTTATGATACTGCTAAAGGAGCTCTGTAAAACCACATAGATTCATTTGCCTTGTTTGCAGTGCTGAATGTTTTACTGTCTTTCCACATGAAAACAAAAAAAATCAGACAAAAATCCTGAAAGCAACCTGTAAAGCAAGAAAACCCATGGAAGGTAAGATGGGCTCTATAATATAAAGACATACATTATGTAAAAAGAAGGGTAAGTCCTGAGTGAGGAGGAAAGAAAATTCAGTATTTATCCTTATTTCAGGCAGACTCTCCAAAGAAGGAAAATTCTCATCCAACACAGCAAAAGACTAGCTTTATCCAGTCTTTGTGCTGCACTTGCCAGGTTGCACATCTGTCCTAAGGAATGGTGTGGTGCTGGAAGTGCCAGGAGCTGCCATCCTTCCTAGTTCCTTCAGTCTTTTGCACAGCACTGGCGAGCCACAGCCTGGCACTGTGTGCAGTCTTCACAGAACCACAGAATGGTTTGGGTTGGAAGGGACCTTAAAGCTCATCCAGTCCAACCCCTGCCATGGGCAGGGACACCTCCCACCAGCCCAGGCTGCTCACAGCCCCATCCAACCTGGCCTTGAACACCTTCAGGGAGGGGGCACCCACAGCTTCTCTGGGCAACCTGTGCAGTGTCTCACCACTCTCACAGTAAAGAATTTCTTCCTAATGTCTGATCTAAATCTAGCCCCTCTTCACCCCCCTCCAGTTATTTTAACGGGTTAAACTTTCTATCCTAGAGCCATTTATGATGCAGACAACTACAGTACGAGCATAATAGGTCAAAAAATAAATCTCAGTGAAAAGCAGAGGAGTCCTTTGTTTTACAAGAGCTTCCTTCTCTGCTGCTCTTTGGGAGACTTTTCTAATTAGGTCAACCTCTCCTTTCAACAGTTCATTTCAGAGAATTGCAGGCACGCTCTTGACTTAATCTTGAGTAATACACAAGGGTTGGTTCATGCAGCAAATATGTTTGAGCCACCAAATGAGAGTCACCATAATATAATGAAATTTGACAGCCTCCCATTGGGGATGGTACCAAGATATGGTAATGTGACACAAGATTTCCAGCACGATAATTAAAATAATTCAAATAAGGATATGAAACCAGCTCCACACTACAACATCTTCTGGTATAGTGACATTATTTGAGATAATGACAATGTTTAATTTTTGACTGATAAAATGTTCTAGAAAAAGTCCTTTCAGTAATGCTGACCAAAGATGAATTATTTCATATGATGGGTCTGGAACTATTTTGGCCCTATTTGGAGTACTTCAATACTACTGGCCTTGGAAACATCCTGGAGGAAAAATCTGGCATGGAAGAAAAAAATTACATGGAAGCTGATTAAGAATTCATGTGAGTTGCAAGAAAAATTCATATGCTAAATCTATAAAGTGGAAGAAAAAGCTTAGAAATACAAGCATGACTCTTACATAAGAATAGCTTTAAAGAAAAAATATCCGCCTCCTAGGTGATGAGAGCTGTCTGGAATTTGTGCTTAAGGGGATGCAAGAAAAATGATGGCAGCAGTTAGAAAAAATATCTGTTTACCTTTGAACACCTTCCAGTCTTCACCAACGCAAAGTGGGGCATTTTAAACCAGGTGATGAGGACAGTATGCCCAAATATACTCCTCCACGACCAAAATGTCCAGAATGAGCCTGTCCTTCATTGTAATAAATTGAAAGGCAAAAGTAGGCACTAGAAAGCTGGACCAGAAATCATGTCCTAAAAGGCATTTGAAAATGAAATTACACAGTTGGTGATGATGCATCGCATCAGAAATGAGTTACAAACCCAAAGGATCATGGGAGCAACGTGAGAAATAAACCAGAAATAAATCTGTAGGACTTTGAAATCGTTTGTGAGTTCAAAACAACCAAAAGGACTAAAGCAAATGAGGTACTAATACATATACAGAATCCAATTCTCGGTCGGTGTATATTGATTTCAGTGTTCCTAAGCCAATTTATAGCAGCTGATGACCTAGCACAGGCTGTGTAATTCATCATTAATGGCAGATGAAAGGCTGAATGACTTACCCATTACTATATCTATTCTAAGGAGATTGAGACTGAGCCCAGGATCAGAAAAGTCTTAAGACCAGAAAGCCAAGCATAAAAAGTAAGAAAAACAGATGGGGAAAATACATGAGTAATTAAAAATAAAGAATGCAGCCAGTGTATAAAGTTTGTGCAGACAAGTGCATGCGTCATCCTGGTCCAAATGGGGATATAGCTTCTGTAAACAAAACCCATATGTCCCTAATTTGTTATCCTTCCCAATCATCACAGGAACATGAAACCAGACTTTAAGTTATCCCTTTTCCTCTTCTCTTCCTTTCCTCCTCTTAATCCCTTTTCTCCTGACCTCTACTGCCAATTAAGGACTATGTGAAATCTATACAACTCTCAATGCTGTGCAAATCCTCCACCAAAGTAATTTGCTTGAAAGCCGCGCCTAAATGATCTCCATTTGTCTGCATCATTGGAAAGTTCACCAGATACCGCCAGTTGGGCAGGATGTCTCCTTTCTGCCTCTCTAGAAGCCTGACCATAATGAGCCAGCCTGGGAGTTCGGCTTGGGACTAAAATATTAAATATTAGAGGAAAAGAAACAGAGGAAAATTTGAAGGAGTTAACCTGGCTGATAAAAATTACTTAAATTGTCCCTACTTCTTGTTACCTCCTATTCCATACGCTATTCTGCACCATTACATGACTTTCTCCCCAGTTCTGGAAGGCACCAAAGGACGGTAGGTCTTACAGGCATGTTCATAAAGACCAGTCCTCTGGGATTTAGTTATTTTTATTGATGCTTTAGACTGCAGCTACCCAGGGGAGTTAAGGGAGGCGTAGGGTGCTCTATGAGTAGTCTTCACACTTCATTTCTCATACTAACTTGTATTTTTTGCTTGTGCTGCTGAAGAACTATTTTTCCAAGGCAAAATGAGAATAATTTGAACACTTCTTCTGAATCTCCTAAAAAATTATTTCTCTATAAGCAGGTTTCCAGCAATCCCTTCGAAAAGGAAAAGTGGAGGAGAAACATGCCTGTTCTCTGTGCAGAAACCTGTTCTGGATGCAAGACTTCCCTTGGGCAGCAAATCATCCAAAACTCAAGAGTTACTCCCCTCCTACCCTAAAATCTGAGAAAATACACATTCCACTGGCAGGAATCACAGCATCTCCCTCTGAGCAGT